ATGGACATGTGTGGATTGCTAAAAAGGATCTATATCCTAAGTTTAGAAGACAGGCGAGTCATGAGTTACACCTTGAAATTGATGTGTCACACAAGCGCCCTACAGAACACGTTGAAGAAGTTCTCTGCAATTGGGCACACACTTCAGTCCAAGAACCAGAGGTCAGAAATCAAGAAAGTCAAGAGCTACATCCTAAGCATAGTTCCTCACACATGGATGAAGAGGAACATACTAGAAAGTGTGTCTGCAACTTATCTCAAAGTCACCTTGAAGTGAAAGAAAATGTGAAAGAAGAAAAGACAACTTCAGGTCATAGTGATCAAGGGAACACAGTCTATGTGGAAGCATGTAACAACAAGAAAACTGCTGGAAAAGTGATTACGTACGTGGATCAGATGAGATCAATGCAGCCTAAAGAGATTGTTGCTATATCAGAGAGTCTGTCTCAGCACAGAAACGAAGATGTTACACACCAGAATCTAAGTAAGAGCTTGATTGACATCACTGGCAGGCGATCAAATTTCAGTCTTACCACCAACACATGCATCTCTTTGCAAGCTACTTCAGGAGCATCACACCCAGTGGATGTCAAAACTCACAGGATACATGTGAAAGGTATTCTTAAGCTCAATCTACATAAGTCTTTTGACACTAACATGGTGATGACAGGAGCATGTGAAGAAAATCTTACATGTTACTCGAATGAGGTGAACAACTTGATGGTGTGTCACAAGGCGTCACAGTGTCTTACTGAAATGGGATACACAGCCTTGAGAAAGTTGTGGACTCCTATACTGGTAAAGAGATCAATACACGTTGAGTATGGTAGTCTTTTTGACCCTTTTGATATTCACTGCATTAACTTAAATGACGTCTCTGTAATCCTGAATCATCTTCAATTATCATTGACCAAGCAAGTAGAAAGTAGACATCATCTTGTTAGAGAACTGATTGAGGAAAAACTTGTTGTCATTGAACATGTTGCATCTGAGAATAAACTAGTTGACATAGTTACTGAACTACCTGAATTCAATGGTTCTTTGTGTATTCAAAAAACCTTTGGAATCTCTGATCTCTAATCTGTTTGTCTTTGAGAGAAGGTCATGTGTA